AGGTACGCAGGTGGTGGGATGGAACCAGTCCTACCCTTTCCAGGGTTCCCATGAAAGTCAGCAAGGCAATCCTGAGCCAAGCCTAAGCTCCACCTGCTATCTAGCAGCGGTGGGATGAACTCAGGCCTACTAACCTGGAACTGGACTCCCACATGTGTACTAGGATAATCTGGGCTGAGCCTGAGCTCCAGCAGATGTCAGCAAGTGAGCAGAGGCAGTCCTGGCCCAGGCTTGAGCTCTGGTGGGCATCTGACCATAGATAGAGGTGGTATTGGGTCTGACACTGGCATGATGGAACTGTGCCTACCCATCCCCATGGCTCCCACACAGGTGGACTAGGCTGATCTGAGAAGACCCTGAGCTCCAGAAGGTGTCTGCTTGTTAGGCGAGGTTGTACTGTGTGTGGCCTGAGCTCTGCTAGGGGCCTGCTTGTGGCAGTTGGTCCCAGGCCTACCTTGGGCCGGGCTCCCACACCTGTCAGCACTGCTGATCTGGGCTGGGGCTGAACTTCAGTGACTCTCAGTGGGCGGAGTCACTCATGGGCGGAGCCCGAGCTTTGGTGCCTGTCTCATGGTGACTGGATTGATTTGGGCTACCCTGAGCTCGGGCTTCATCTCCTGCCAGGTCACCGAGTTGGATCTGGGCAGAGCTGGAGCTCTGGTGGGGTTCTGCAGGTGGTGGGATGGAACCAGGCCTCCCCTTACCCGGGCTCCTGGGCAGGTCAGCGAGGCCAATCTTGGCCATGTTTGAGCTCTGCCTGTGGTCAGAGGTGGTCCTGTGTCTGGCCTGAGCGCTAGTCTTGCAGCAGTTGGTCCCAGGTCTACCTTGGGGCAGGCTCCCGTGCCTCTCAGCGAGGCTAATCTGGACTGGGTCTGAACTTTGGTGGCTGTCTGACCTTGGCAGAGCCTGAGCTCAGGTGCCAGTTTGAAGGTGACTGGATGGATATGGGCTACCCTGGGCTCAGGTTTCCTCCTGCCAGGTCGTCAGGTTGGATCTGGGCAGAGCTGGAGCTCTGGTGAGGTTTTGCAGGTGGCGGGATAGAATCAGGCCTCCCCTTGCCCAGGCTTTTGCACAGGTCAGCGAGGAAAATCTGGGCCATTTATGAGCTCTGGAAAGGGTCTGCCTGTGGGTGGAGGCGGTCCTGGGCCGAGCCTGAACTCCAGCAGGGGTCAGACAGTGGAGGAATGGAACATGCCTATCCTTTCCCGGGCTTTGGTGCAGGTGGTCCAGGTGGACCTGGGCTTGGACTGAGCTCTGGAGTGTGTCTTCCTGTGGGCAGAGTTGGTCCTGGGCCAAGCCTGAGCTAGGGTGGAGGTCTGGTGGTGGCCATATGTTCCCAGGGCTACCCTGTGCACATCTGCAAGGCTTATCTGGTTGGATGCTGAGATCCAGCAGGGGGTCGGCTGATGGCAGGAGGGAACAGGACCTACCCTTGTCAGGACACCTGAGCTGATCAACGAGGTGGATTGGCGCCGAAGATGAGCTCTGGCAGGGGTCGGCCTTTGGGCAGAGACTTCTCTGTTTCTGGCCTGAGCTCTGCTAGGGGCCTACTTGTGGCAGTTGGTTCCAGGCCTACCTTGGACCAGGCTCCTGAGCTGTCAGCAAGGCTGATCTGGACTGAGGCTGAACTTCACTGACTGTCTGTCAGTGTGCGGAGTCTGTCATGAGCGGAGCCTGAGCTCTCGGGCCAGTCTCATGGTGACTGGATCGACTTGGGCTACCCTGGGCTCGGGCTTCGTCTCCTGCCAGGTCATGGAGTTGGATCTGGGCAGAGCTGGAGCTCTGGTGGGGTTCTGCAGGTGGCGGGATGGAACCAGGCCTCCCTTTCCCCGGGGCTCCTGCGCAGGTCAGGGAGGCCAATCTTGGCCATGTTTGAACTCGGCCTGTGGTTAGAGGCGGTCCTGTGTCTGGCCTGAGCTCTGCTTGGTGCCTGCTTGTGGCAGTTGGTCCCAGGCATACCTTGGGCCAGGCTCCTGAGCCTGTCAGCCCTGCTGATCTGGACTGGGGCTGAACTTCTGGAGCTGTCTGTCAGTGGGCAGAGTCCGTCGTGGGCAGAGCCTGAGTTCCGATGCCAGTCTCTTGATGACTGGAAGGACACGGGCTACCCTGGACTCAGGTTTCGTCCTGCCAGGTTGTCAATTTGCATTTGGGCAGAGCTGGAGTTCTGGTGGGGTTCTTCATGTGGCGGGATGGAACCAGGCCTCCCCTTGCCCAGGCTCCCGCGCAGGTCAGCTAGGTCAATCTTGGCCATGTTTGAGCTCTGCCTGTAGGGGAGGGTGGTCCTGTGTCTGGCCTGAACTCTGCTTGGGGCCTGCTTGTGGTAGTTGGTCCCAGGCCTACCTTGGGCCAGGCTCCCGCGCTTCTCAGCGAAGCTAATCTGCACAGGGGCTGAAATTTGGTGGCTGTCTGACAGTGGGTGGAGTCATTTCTGGGGGGAGCCTGAACTCGGGTGCCAGTCTGAAGGCCTTGGGCTACCCTGGTCTTGGGCTCCGTTCCCTGCCAGTTCGTCAAGTTGGATCTGGGCAGAGCCTGAGCTCTGGTGGGGTTCTGCAGGTGTTGGGATGGAACTTGGCCTCCTGTTGCCCGGGCTCCCACGCAGGTCAGTGAGGCCGATCTTGGCCATGGATAAACTCCAGCAGGGGTCAACCTGTGGGCAGAGGGGGTCCTCTGTCTGGACTGAAATCTGCGTGGGGCCTGCTTGTGGCAGTTGGTCCCAGGCCTTCCTTGGACCAGGCTCCCGTGCCTGTCAGGTTGATCTGCATTGGGGCTGAACTTAGGACTGGGGCTGAACTTAGGACTGGGGCTGAACTGTCAGACAGTCAGTGGGCGGAGTCATTCCTGGGCAGAGCCTGAGCTCTGGTGCCAGTCTGAAGGTGACTGGATGGACTTGGAGTACCTCAGGCTCTGTCTCCTGCCAGGTAGTCGAGTTGGATCTGGGCAGAGCTGGAACTCAGGTGGGGTTCTGCAGGCAGCGGAATGGACCCGGGCTTCCCATTGCCTGGGCTCCAGCACAGGGTAGTGAGACTGATCTGGGCCTTGTATGACCTTTGGCAGGGTTTTGCCTGTGGACGGAGTCGGTCCTGGGCCAAGTCTGAGCTCAGGTGGTGGTCTGGTGGTGGCCATATGTTCCCAGGGCTACTGTCTTCCTGGGCTCCTGTGCACATCTTCAAGGCTTACCTAGTTGGATCCTGAGATCCAGCGGAGTGTGGCTGTTGGAAGAAGGGAACAGGATCTACCCCTGTCAGGACTCCTGAGTGGATCAGCAAGGTGGATAGGGGTGGCAGATGAGCTCGGGCAGGGGTCAGCCTTTGGGAGGAGACTGTTCTGTGTCTGGAAGCTCTGCTCAGGGCCTACTTGTGGCAGTTGGGCCCAGGCCTACCTTGGACCAGTCTCCTGAGCCTGTCAGCAAGGCTGATCTGGACTGGGGCTGAACTCCAGTGACAGTCTGTCAGTGGGCAGAGTCAGTCATGGGCGGAGCCTGAGCTCTGGTGCGAGTCTCACGGTGACTGGATGCACTTGGTCTACTCTGGGTTTGGGCTTTGTTTCCTGCCAGGTCATGGAGTTGGATCTGGGCAGAGCTGGAGCTCTAGTGGGGTTCTGCACGTGGCAGGATGACACTGGGCCTCTCCTTGCCTGGGCTCCCAAGCAGGTTAGCGAGGCCAATCTTGGCCGAGTTTGAGCCCTGCCTATTGAATGGAGGTGGTCCTGTGTCTGGCCTGAACTCTGCTTGGGGCCTGCTTGTGGCAGTTGGTATCAGACCTACTTGGGACAGGCTCCCGTACCTGTCAGTGAGTCTGACCTGGGCTGGGGCTGATGTTCTGCAATTATCTGTCAGTGGGTGGAGTCGGTAGTGGGCAGAGCCTGAATTCGGATGCCTGTCTCTTGATTACTGGAAGGACATGGGCTACCCTGGACTCAGGTTTCTTCCTGCCAGGTCTTCGAGTTGGATCTGGGCAGAGCTGGAGCTCTGGTGGGGTTCTGCAAGTGGCTGGATAGAACAGGGCCTCCCCTTTTCCTGGGCTCCTGTGCAGGATAGTGAGGCCGATCTGGGCCTTGTATGAGCTCTGGCAGGTTCTGCTTGTGGCAGAGTTGTCCTGGGCCGAGACTGAGCTCAGGTGGTGGTCTGGTGGTGGCTATATGTTCCCAGGGCTACCCTCTTCCCAGGCTCCTGTGCACATCTGCAAGGCTTATCTGGTGGGAGCCTGAGATACAAAGGGTGGGTGGAGGGTCTGCTGGTGGTGGGAAGCACCAGGGCCTATTCTGGGCTTCCACTACCACTCAGGTCGTCGAGGCTGAAATGGGCCGGGATTGGTCACCAGCGAGTGTCTGTTGGTGGGAAGTCTGTCCTGGTCCAATCCTGAGCTCTGGAGGGAGCTGCTGGAGGGTGGAGGCAGTTCTGGGCAGAACCTGAGCTCTGGCAGGAGTCTCACAATGAGTTGATGGACTAGGGCTACCCTGGGCCCCGTCTCCTGTGCAGGTCCTTGGGGTGGCTCTGCACTGGATCTGAGCTCCTGCAGTGGTCTGCTAGTGGGCAGAAGCAGTCCTTGCCCAAGTCTCAGCTCCAGGGAGGGTCGGCCAGTGTTGAGATGGTCCCAGACCTGTCCTTTCCCGAGCTCCATGCAGGTTCTCGAGGCTGACCTGGGCAGAGCCTGAGCTCCAGCGGGTGTCTGCTGGTGTGCGGAAGTAGTCCTGGGCCAGACCTGAGCTTGCTGCAGGTGTCCTGGTTTAGGGATGGACACAGGCCTACCCTGTGTCTGGCCTCCCACCCAGGTCGGCAGGGGCAGATCTGGACTGTACATGAGCTCTGGCTGGTGTCTGCAGGTGAGTTGAAGCCATCCTGGGCTGGGTCTGAGCATCCCACTGGTGGCGGGATGAAAGCAGGCTACACTGGGCCACAGCTCCAGTGCATCTGGGAAGGGCCTGAGCTCAGGCGGGTATCTGTGGACCTTTATTTTATTCATTTGTTCGTAGGTGGTACTGAGAATCAAAGCCAAAGCCTCACATGTGGGAGACAAGAGTTCTATCACTGAGTCACAACCCCAGCCCTATTTGCTTCTTGTTGACCTTTAATCATACCATCTTTTGGTTCTATATCATTTGTTCATGCATGCATTTGAATTTTAACAAGTAGTTATTATGTGATATCACCTGCAATGCTTCTCAAGCTGGCCCCAAATGAGACCTTGATCCTCAGCAGGATTACATCCCACACATCCATGTCACCTCTGGCATAGGTGCAGAAGAGAGATACTTAAGACATCGTCCTTGACTCTCAACTTTTGGGACAAATTGTTTTGAAGAGGTAAAGGATAAGTGGTCATAAGAGATCCTGCAGAATGCAGAACAGGTATGGTTTTGAATGAATAAGGATTTATGTATTAATTAAGTTTGTTTATTTCCTTTTTGCTGGCGTTCATGTATCTGTAATTTGTTTTTCCTTTTTCTTTTTGGAATGGGGATCAAACCCATGGCTTTGGGAATGTGAGGCAAGTGCTTTACAGCTTTGCCATTGAGCCACTTCCCACCCCATTCATTCATTGTCAGCGTGGGAATTCAGGGCTGTTTTTATGAATGAATCTACTATGAATGTTAAAAAGAGACTGACCAATGGCGTTCGTGTGTGTCCAACCCAATTATCATAACTTTGGGCCAATAGCATTGGTACTTCTTTCAAGTCCTAATTAGCATAAGTTTGGACCAATAGCATTGGACCAAGTGCTATATAAACCCCTTGGAGGCTGTTCTGAGGAGGAGAAGCTGCCAAGGTCCTCAAGGTTGCTGAGCTGGAGTTCGCTGGAGTTTCTGGAGTTTCACCGGAGTTTCGCCTGAGTTCAGCTGGAGTTCCGCCGAGTTCCACCGACATTCCAGCCTGCTTTGGTTCCCGGAAATGATTCTTTGACAAAAGAGACTGCAGAAAGAAGAAGAAATGGTTGAGGATCTGCTGAGGTCTGCTGCCACGCTGGATGGAATGGCCCGCCATGAGGAGCTAGGACTCCTCTCTGCTGCAGAGGCCTCCCCGCCCCACGCGCGAAGACTCCTACCTGCCAGTAGAAGCCATGGAGTTTCATCTTAAAACTCTGGTTCCAAAGGTATTGTTGTATGTTAGATAATTAACGTCTAAGTATTGAAATTTGTTAATTTTAATTTCTAGTAGTGAAAATTATGAGATTCATAAAGAATAGAAAATTATTTACCATAGTTCTGGAGGTCAGAAGCGGGAAAAGTCTGTCTCAATAGTTGTGTCATCATTTGGCAGAAAAGTGGGAGAGACTAAACCCACTCTTAAAAGCTTTCTTTTCCCCATTCATTTGAAGTTGATTTCAGTGCTATAGAAATGTTTAAAGGAACCTAGGAAATGTTTCATTTCATTAATTTTCATTTATTGGTTGCTTTAGTTATAAAATCCGTTTTTAAAAAAATTTTAAAGTTATTAATGGACCATTTATTTCATTTTATTTATATGCACTACTGAGAATTAAACCCAGTGCTTCACACATGCTAGGCAATTGCTCTATTACTGAGCCAAAACCCTGGCCCATAAAATTCATTTTGATACAGTCCATATTTGTATAATTGTACCTTATCTCTTTAGAGTTGCATTCTTAGGCTATCTATGGTGGTGGGATTCACTGTGTTGTTTCCATGTATATACATGGGAAAGCTGTGTTAGAGTCTTTCCACTAACTTTCCTTTGCTTATGCCCCCTCCTTTCCCTCCATTCCCCATTGTCTAATCTACTGCACTTCTGTTCCCATCACCCCTCCTGTTGTGGGTTCGCTTCCACATATCAAATAAAACATTTGTCTTTGTTTTTTGAAAACTGTCTTAGCTTCAGTTATCATGATTGTCTCTAGGTGGATCCATTTATGGGCAGATATTGTAATCATATTGTTTTTCTTGCAAATTGGTATGTTTTCTTTAATCTACTTATAAAAAAACTTGTTCTAATTCTACATGACCATAGAACGCATTTGACATATCATACATAAATGTAATATGATTTCTCATGCTTCTGGTTGTGCAGAATGTAGCATCACACCAGTCATGTAATTGTATATTACTTTGGATGATTATGTGTGATTCATTCTACTATCCATTTTACTCATTATACTCCTTCCCCTCTCTTCACTCCTCTATTCAATCTAAAGCAAATGTATTCTTCCATACCCGCCCCCCGCCCCCTTACTGTGATTAGCATAAGCATATCAGAAAACACTTTCAACCTTTGTTTTTTGGGGATTGGCTTATCAGAATGATAAGCTCCATCCATTTACCAGCAAATGCCATAATTTCATTCTTCTTTAAGGCTGAGTTGTATTCTATCATATATATATATATGTATGTGTGTAAAATTTTTTTGTGTGTATGTATATGTGTGTGTATATACACACACACACATATATATATATATATATATATATATATATATATATATACTCATACACACACATTTCGTTTTCTTTATCCATTTATCTGTTGAAAGTCACCTAGGTTAGCTCCATAGTTTAGCTGTTATGAGGTGATCTGCTGTAAACATAATGTGGCTGTTTCATTGTAATATGCTGATTTTAAGTCCTTTGGGTATAAAATGAGGAAAGGGATGGGTGTGTCAAATGTTGGTTCCATTTCACGTTTTCTGAGGAATCTCCATACTGCTTTCCATAATGTTTGCACCAATTTTCACTCCCACCAGCAATGTGTGCATGCACCATTTCCTCACATCTTTGCCAACATTTATTGTTATTTGGTAATTGTATTCTTGATAATCATGTTTGTGTCTGGGGTGAGACGAAATCTTGGAGTAGTTTTGATTTGCTTTCCTCTAATGGCTAAATGTTGAACATTATTTCATGTATTTGTTGCTTCTTTTCTGAAGTGTCTGTTCAGTTCCATAGCCCATTTATTGATTTGGTTCTTTGTTTTTTTGAGTTCTGCATATATCCTGGAGATTAGCGCTCTATCTGAGGTGCATGTGGTGAAGATTTTCTCCCATTCTGTAGGCTCTCTTATCACATTATTGATTGTTTCCTTTGCTGAGAAGATGCTTTTTAGTTTGAATCCATCTGGTTTATTGATTCTTGAATTACATTTTGGAATGTAGGATTCTCATTAAGGCTGTTAGATGTTAGGCTGACATCGTGAAGATTTTGGCTTACTTTTTCTTCTATTAGGCACAGGAGGTATGTTCTAGTGCCCAAGTCTTTGATCCATTTTGAGTTGAGTTTTTTTCAGAGTGAGAGGGGTTTACTTTCTTTTTGTTATATGTAGCTTTCCAATTTTCCCTGCATCATTTGTTGAATAGGCTTTCTTTTCTCCAATGTATGTTTTTTCGTGCCTTTGTCTAGTATGAGATAACTGTGTTTTTGTGAGTTTGTCTCTGTGTCTTCTATTCTGTACCATTCATGTGTCTACACATCTGTTTTGGTGCTGATATAATGCTGTTGTTGTTATTGTGGCTCTGTAGTACAGTTTAAGCTATACTATTATGATGTGTCCTACTTCATTCATCTTGCTAAGGATTGCTTTGGCTATTCTGGGTCTCTCACTTTTCCAAATGAATTTCATGACTGCTTTTTCTAGTTCTGTGACGAATTGTCATTGGGATTTTTTTTATATGAATTGCATTAAAGTTCATGCCCAAGTACAAATTAGTTAAAACTATGAAAATAATCCTGGATCAACATTGACCTGACAGCTATCTGGTGACAGGTATCTGTTGACTCAGGAGCTTTAGCCTGCACACTCAGTGGTGGCTAAGCTGAGGTTACTCCGCATTTCAGCATTAACAGCATCTTAGAGTTGAGTCTACTCTGCATGTTGGTGTTGAGGTCTGGGTACAGTTATGCTTTGCTACCACACAACCAGGGATAATTTGCTGAGTTTTTTAAAATTGTAAATGTGTCTGAAAATTTTGGGGGGTCCTTTAATCACTTTGCTTGATCAAATTTTGTGTTCTAGGCATTATCCTAGGTGTGGAGTACAGAGTAAATAGGCCAAGTCTGAGTATCCATGGAAGTTAATGAAGTTAGTAAGATGATTATAGCATCTACCTCAGTGTTACTGTGAAGCCTAGAACAGAGTATGTCTGTTCATAACTGCAGTGCTGAGGACTGTAATATTGTTGAGGAAAATCACAGATGACTTCAACAGGCATCAGCTTGTTTTCGTCTGGGAAGTATTGTAAAGTTGTTACTTTTTCTATAATAAAAACAGACATTTAACACAGTTTGTATCTGAAGTCTGTGAACTTCAGGGATCCCTGTGGGCTGCCTGTCTCCAGGTCAGACACACAGTCCTGTGCTGACTCAATACAGGTTTGGAGACCCTTGAAGCCTCTTTTATAACCATGAGAGCCTGTGCTTCATAGTCAGCAGGCCAAGTAGGGGTCTCCAGGTCAAGTGGATCACACATCCCTATGGTGCTGACTTCCCCCAATCAGTTCATCTCCTGTCTTCACACACTCACTGGCTGCCATTTAGCTGGATGGGCCCTACTCCATAATGGGAATTTTATATCCTTTGCATTAATTGTCCAGAGCTTTTGGGTAGAGGCCTGGCCTTTCCTAATCCCCAGAACTATCTCTGTGTCCTCTTCACAGGGTCCTGTTATTACTGGCTGTGAGTGTGCTTTGTGCAGATGGTGGTGTACTGCAAGCTCGTATTACATTCATTTTGTGTCCTCTTTCTTATAGCACTTAACAAGGTGCTTGGAGTTGGAGTAGGGGTAGGAGAGTTGGCCTGAAAAATGGCCCTAAACTTTATGAACATAGTTAGGGAAACCTAGGGGTGGGGGGGTGACGATATAATGGAGAGAATCCAATTCCTCCTAGGGAAACACATGCACAGTGAAACTTCATTTAAAGTAAAATGTCATGCTGTACTCAAAAATCAAGCAATTCTGGATGGATTTCAGAGAGTTAAAAAAATGAGGGGAAAACAGAACTAGAAGATAAAATTGAATAGTTTTTCAATTTGTGCTAGGGAGCCGGTTATCACTGTCAGACCACGCTGTGCTCTAGCTGGGGATCATGAATATCACATGAAGTGAGAGATGTACAAACACATCCCCAGTTACTTGTGTTGTTGTGACACAGAACATTTCCTTAATCTTTGATGAGGGAAAAAAAATATTACCTTTAAAATATCACTCCTAATGAATGCTGTGCTAGGGCTGTTCTGCTTCAGACGTTAAAAACCTGGGCTTTGTGCAGAGGCATCCAGATTTTAAGAAAAAGGCTAAGCAGAAGAGAGAGACACACATATCAAATCAGTTGCAGAACAGGACTCCACCGTGACTATAAATGTTGAGCAACTACTTCTGGTTCTGTTTTTTTTTTTAAATATTTATTTTTTACTTGGACACAATAGCTTTGTTTATTCTTATGTGGTGCTGAGGGTCAGACCCAGGGCCTTTAACATGCTAGGCAAGCACTCTGCCACTGAGCCACAACCCCAGCACTGGTTCTGTGTTTTTAGTATCTGTTGTGCATCTCCTCCTGGTGCTCTTTAACTGATAAGCTTTTGACATTGGCCTGCATGAAGACACCACAGGTGAGGACTTGGGGACAGTGGAGAGCCTGGCTGGGTTTGGGTTGGATGATTGTATAAGACGCCATTGGAGATATGTTAGAACAGTGTCCTTGGGGTAGAGTCAGGAAAAAATTCTTTCTTACTTGACATTTTGATAGAGTGAGGAAGTGTCTATTTTTCCTAATGTAATTAGTTGGATATTCAAGCTAGGTTTCAAACTCTATTCTTTCATGAGTTTGGAGGGGAAAACTAGTACTTACTATCCAGCTCACTGGTTAGTTTATAAAATATCACCACATATCTCTCATTTTAATCAGATTTTAAGTATGCACATGTAAGATATTCAATGTCAACATTCAAACAAAGAGTAGAGAATGAAAACCTCCTTCATTTCTCTGCCCATAGGGCATTGTGTTGAATATCTATCTAAGGATATGTGCATTTCCATGTTTTGAAACAAAAAGGTATATATTAACACACTTTTTCTTTTGGAAAGTCAAAATAAGAGAACTCTTCTCAGTTCTCTGGGGACTTTACACTTATTTTATAAACCTCTGTACAGTTTGGCTGTTTAATCTTTTACAAAGAGTTTGCATGACTTTTGTAATTAAAAAACATGAGACCAAGTAGAAAAAAGAATGGAAGGAAGTAGTCCAACTTTGTTCCTTTCAGGAGAGGACTCAGTCCATTCTCTCACTCATTCCAGAAATGCTTTCTGGTAGGTTCTGGGTTTAGCTCTATGGTGGAGCACTTGCTCAGTGTTTGAAAGGTCCTGGGTTCAGTCCCTGGTGCTGTTGAAATAAACAAAGCAGAACCATAAGACACATTCTGGAATGCTATTGGACAGTAGTGTGAGTCTTGGTACCAGTTATGTTTGATATATTTCAATAAGCTAGAAGAAAACGGTCCACATGTTTTCACCGTAAACAAAGAGGAAATGTTTGAGGATGTAGGTGTTCTTTAACCTAATGTGACCATTGCAGATCATTTGCATGTATCAAAATATCACATGGTACCCTGTTAGTATGTATTATTTTTACATTTTAAACATCATGTAGCTACACATTTAAAATAGTTTCCCATATTCTCTAAATTCATAAACAACAAATGGACAAATACCTGTATTTATGAACCTAATTAATACATTCTGAGAATGCCAGGCTTTCTCATTTTTATTTCATTTTCTATAGGCTCAGTAATTCTTCTGTATTTTTTAAGGTTTTATTTTTCTCACTTAATATATTTTAGCACATTACTAAATGTGCTAAAATGGTTCCTGTTCAGAAGACAGGAAGGTGATTAGGGTGATTAGGCTGGTGATTTATTTTGTTGTGGAGCAGTGATTGGCAAATAGTAGTTACTGTAAATGTTTGTGTGAGTGAGTGAAAAACTATCTGCAACTCTAAAAATGTGTATGTGATCAATAAAAATAAGGAATTCTGCCAGGTGACCTGCAATTAAGATTGTGTAAGAAAATTAGCTTGAGGCACAAGCTACATATTAACTATAAGGATTCTTAAGAAATATTGTTGGATTAGTCATTTATTCATTCATGCATATTATGTTGAGTGGCTACAGTATGCTGTTAGGAGCTGGCAAGACCACAGAAAATAAAATATTGCAAAGTTCTGGCTATTAGGGGCCTTGCATTATAGTATCCATGGGTTAGGAAGAAGAAATGTGTTATAGAAAAGTAAAAAAAAAAAAAAAAACCTGTGGAAGGGGAAAGATGATAATTGTTAGCTAATAGATATGGAGAGAACCTCCCTTCAGGTCTTGGCAGTTTGAAGGATGATGTGCCTACACTCTAACCTCAGCAGTAATGCTGAAGTAGGATAAATGCACCTGGTCTGTGGTTATGCTTGACTCATTTAGAAGATGCTATTTGATTTAATGTGTAACTGGGTCTTTTCACAATCTTTCCTTATATAGTAGGAATCTTTTTATACTCTGAGATTAACAGAAACTACATTTTTAAAAATATTTTTTTACTTGTAGATGGAGACAATACTTTTATTTGTTTATTTATTTATTTATTTATTTTTATGTGGTGCTGAGGATCAAACCCAGTGTCTCTTATATGTGAGGCAAGCACTCTGCCACTGAGGCACAGTTGCATCCCCAGAAACTACATTTTAAAACAACAATAAAGCAAGCAAAAATGGGACAGAATGGTAAGATTGTAGATGACAACACTTGACATTCTTTTTTGAATAAGTATCTTAAACCTGGGAGAGCAAAATAATCAGAATGGAAACTGTCACATTACAAAGTCCTTCTGATACTAAAGTAACACCAAGCTAGATGCTATTATAGAAGAGCAATGTGAACAGGGAACGGCATGTGATTGCATAGAGTGAAATCAGGTCTGGGTAGCTGCTAGATTTGGTCTCATGTGAATTTATATAAATATTAAATAGTTTTTAGTGGGGGAAAGGGAGAGATTCCAACCTTCTCAAAATGTTGTACCCAGTTTCTATCAGAAGAAACTTTGCATTTCCGTATGTCTTATTGTAAGCTAAATTGGCTAAGTTCTTTAGATTTTCATGATCTAAGAGAGAAATTTGCATAAAAATTTTACATTTCTGAAGTTATGTTAATGGAATCAGTGGCAAATAAAATGGATTATAAGTTAAAAGACAACTTCTCAGTGTTTCACTCTCCTGTCACTCTGCAGATGAGGCCTGTTGGTGGACTATACATCCTGCCTTGAAGCAGTGATCAGAAGGCGAGAAACTATGGGTTGGAGGTGATCTCGTCCTAGTTAGCGAGTCCTTTGAGCAATACTTGGTAAGTGTGCACCGTAGGACCATGGGCTTAGTGTTGTGATAAAGGACAGTACAATGAGATGGTCTCTTTAGGGGTTATACTGCCAATTTTCTGGGAAAGTTGCTGTTGCACAAGCCCGTACCTCTATGTGATGAGTTATTAACAATGAGTAGGAAAGGGAAGTGGCCTGAGTGGAAGTGCTTACCAGATCTTTCAAGCATCCTTCCTCATGCACTTGATTGAAGTGTATGTTCATGGTCCTGAGAGCACACCTGTGTCTGGATTCTTCTATGAATAGAATGTAAGCTCAGTATTATCAGGAGTTCCAATCCCTGGTCTTTATTTTATGCTCAATGTAAAGGTTATATTAAAAAGATTGTGATTACCTATTTTTATATTCATGAAAGAAAATTATTACATCAGGAAAGCTTGCCATGTTAAGGAGAAATAGACAAAGTATAGGGGCCAGAAATGGGAAAATGAAGGGAAAAATTTGTTTAATCATTGGAGGATTTTGACTTTTTTTGATAAGGGAATTGTATATTTAATTTATTTAGTAAGTTGTAGTTTTGTTTAACAACAATCCTATGGGTAAATTCACAAAATATTGAAATCCACAGAACTGTAAAGGATTCCAGTGCAAAATATTCTTTTATTTTAAGGTTGAAAATAAATTAATTATAAAATGGGACATTGTGAGCTTTGCATGAATACCCACATGAAATATCTGAGTTGTCGTGGGTGATTTCAGAAATAGAGCACATTGAAAGCACAACATGGATTCTAGAGAGTGCATTGGCAGTGACATGAATCAAAATGTTGTTTGTGTGTACCTAAGTAGGAATGAGTCGGCATTTATATGCTCTATACATGTGGAACTAGGGTGGCTTTGAGGTAGCTGTAAGTGTCTTGGGTTACCAGCACCTTCAGTTCCAGTTTTCAAATGTTTCTAGGAAGCATGGCTTTGTTTTCCTGTCTCTATGGAGAAAGGTGACGATGAAGACAGGGAAACTATAACAGTGCTCTGTGTCACTGGCAGGTACTGTTAAGTTAAAAGGAGCATCTGCTGGTGCACAGCTGCTGGAAGGCCTGAGCATTTCTGTGCTCATTTCCCCTAGCTGATATGCATGGAAACAGTCACCATGCCAAATTCTGGAAGATTGCAGGTGTGCAGCTTGTAAAATAAGAATCTTTCAAGTCCTTGTTATGTGCATGTGTGTGCTGCAAGGTGATGCATTTATTTGCTCAGGAGATGTACAGTTGAGCTGGAACTGTCTTTGGAAACCAGTAGAAATGGAACTAATTCATGGAAACTTCCATATACAAATTCTACATGTATCATATTTTGGCTTTGGTTATGAGTCTTCATTTGTTGTTGTACATCTTGTATTTTTCACTATATAACAGAGTTTATTTGACAGGGTATTATTCACCAAATGAATGGAAAATCAGAAGCCAAGGCTTCTAATGTCAATTCTGCAGCTAACTAACTACCTGAGCAAGTCATGTCACTCCTTGAACTCCAGCTTCCTTGCTTGTAAAGTGAGGTTATTGGTAATAACAGAATGTAGAGCCAAGATATTGAGAAGAGGCAGTGACATAATGATTTTGTATAAAAATTTAAGTACATACAGGCAAACAAAATAACAAACAGAGAAGTAGCAAGATGCACAATCCATGGTTCACCATCAACAATTCTCTCATTTTGTTTCTATGGCACTTTCATCTTTCTGCCCCTTCATAGTAGCTTCTGGTTGTTCCTTATTTGCATTTAGTAGGGGCAAACTTTCTGTACATTTCAACATCAAAGCTTAGCTGTAGAGTTTTGACAGATGGTTGCACTGGGGCTTCCCAGACACATACCTCCGTGTGAGACATTTCCATTTTCCTTAAGTTTCCCCAAGAAAGTTGCCAAACGTTCCCTCACAAATTTGCCCCTGCCTCTTTGACCAGAGACATTTTTTCACTCCTGATTCATAGAATTCATAAGTTTTGCATCCTTAGGAAAACTGATGTTATTTTTATATATATGTATTCTCTTGCTAATCTGATTTTACTTAGCTTTTTAAAAGTTAGCAATAATTGCTGGATTGTTTTCAATTACAGGAGATAAAAATCATGTTTTAGGGTCCTTGTTTCATTGATAAATAAGTTACCCATATACCCAACTGTTGAAAAATCCCTACATTCATAGAATAAGCTGTAGTTGACCATAACGTGTTGTTATTTGAAATCCTACTAGATATGTATGTATTTATTTTATTCAGAAATATTGACTATATTCATAACGAAAATTAAATGTTTTATTCATGGGTAATTATATTTGCATTTCATACCATTTTCATATGTTATGAAATGTCATTTTTCTTTGATACTGATCTACCTTGTTGGAAGTGTCCCTGCAGGAGGGCAAACTCTCAGGCTCATTGAACTGTGCACTTCAGATTTATGCATTTACTTCTCCTAATGTTACTATTTCATAGAAAGTTTAAAACATAGAGCCTAATAGAAGAGCTAACAAAAATATTCGGTTTTGAACTTCAAGGCTTCAGAAGCATTGCTCGGTGCTTGGTGATTGGTCAGCCTCTTGGGATCTGCTGTGAAGCCTGTGATGCTGTAGGAGTGGGAGGCAAAGTGCAATCTCCCCTTTGAAGCTTGTTCACAGTTTTCTGAGGCCAAAGATCATTTTTTGAATGTAGATATGTGGAAATTCCCTGCTGTTTGTTTTATTCAAGTCAATATTTATTGAATCATTTTGTAAAATAATAACTGAATGAATATATTGAAAGCTAGTTTGTACAGGGTGCTGTGTGTGTTATTTAATCTGAACACAATGGTATTGGGATGCCTCCACCTACCTTTTGATTCTATTTCTGTTCCTGTTCAGTGATTTCACAGCACATCATATTGATACTGGCTTGGGAAGGGGATTCCCAGAATGAAGGTATCACTTCTGCATTCTTACAGGCTATTATGCACCAGGAAGGCCACCTGGATGATGGCTTAAACTTTTCTAGATCTCAGCATGAAGAAACATGCACAGACCAAGTCATCTGGAGCAATGTCTCACTTTTCAGTAGATTTATAAGGTACTTTTGCTTTTGTTGTCCTGGTACTTTGATATTTCATTTTCATTTTCTTTCTGTGTTTACAAGTAATAAATTTCAAAGTGTAAAAATACATTGAGGGAGTTCAACAGAAGACAATACAAAATGCTACTTAGATAATTGTGTTTTTCTTTTAAGTGAAGGATAAAGGAATGTGCTTTTAGAAGTTGGGCATGTAATTTTTAATTGAGAGCTACAGGTTGGGATTACTCTGCAACTTGTTTTTGTGTAAGACTGATTTAATTCCCTTTTACAGAGAGAATAATGAAGACTTATATGCTTTTGAACTACATTAAAAAATAGTGGTCCATGTAATAACTGATTTTTCCACCTGAAGATTGAAACAGTTGCATATCTACACACGAAATCAAACATGTGGCCAAAGTGTTTTCTGATACCAATATATTAGTACACCATGTCATCTGTACAGGATGGATATCATCTATATCTTGAAATTTGCAAATTTCATGAGAGGAAAATATTTTTGAAATATGCACTTTTTAAAAGTTTTCTTTTAATACTTTATTTTATTTATTTATTTTTATGTGATGCTGAGGATCCAACCTAGGGCCTCACATGTGTGAGGCAAGTGCTCTACCACTGAGCCACAACCCCAGCCTGAAATATGCACTCTTTATATATACAGATAATTCAGTATGATGAAGATGTTAAAAAAGGTATACATTTTAACAAGTTTGCACATATATCTTGTTTCTATAATTTGCTTTTGGATATTTGGGGAATGGATATTTATGTTTATATTTTTAAATTTTGTTGATGTATTCTACTTGCTAATGTTTCTACAAGTCTATTATGAGGTTTTTGTTAATTTCTTGTCATATATAAATTACAAATGTTTCCTACAATGTATTAGTTGGAAAAAATTTTTAAAGTATTTTCTCAAAATAGCTAAATTAATAAATTATTTTTGCTTTCAAATGTAAGAAAGGTCTTTCCTATCCAATATTATACTACTATCCACTTAATCATTATCTGCTTTTATAAACCATCCCACTCAGGATGTGTGTGTGTGTGTGTGTGTGTGTGTGTGTGTTGGGAGGACATTTATATGGCTGAAGAATGTGCATAACATGCAGCTTCATAGTATCCCTAGTGCTTTTTCCATTTCTGTGCCTAATTTAAACCTTAAACTTCATCAGACGGAATAAGGCTTAGAGTCTTAGAGATGGGGTAGGTGTCATTTTTATATTGTATTTATCATTTGTATTACTTATTAATTCCATTGCTTTATACAGTACTTCTTGTAATAAATAGAAAAATTTATAGGAATTATGAAAGTGGAGAATAGAAATGCTATTGACAAAATTAGTATGGGATTTTATTCAAAAACTTTATAATAGTTGCAGTTTTATTTTTATTGACTTATGAAGGGGAAGTACCATATTTCAAAACGTAATTTGTAATTGAGATCTATAGTTATCTTAATGTAAATGATGATACATTTTAAATATTTTGAGCATTATAATGTACAAAGCTAAGTTAATTATTATTAATAAGCCTTTTATTGTTTCTAAAATATAAGTTTTGATGTAGTCAGAAAAATTTAGTCAAAAATATTTCTTTTCACTAAAATATTTTCATACAATTTTGTTGATGTAGAGAGCAAGAATTTGAATTATTTTTGAGCATTGAATTTTGTCATGACTAATGAGTATTACTGTATCAATTAGAATAGTGCTATTCTCCTATTTCTTTATGGTATCTGTTTTTTTTTTGTGTGTGTGTCTGTATGTTTTAACAGACTTTTTACCTTGGAATAATTTTATTTAAAAGCATCACATTTTACCGTCCTCTCCAGACATATTCTAAGCTGTGAGCTTTAAAACCAAGAATCTCAGTAAACTCAACAAATTATCATATTCTTATTCACTAGCGTTTTGCTCCAAAGGTGAGAAAATACACCTTAGTCATCTTTCTTAATCTAAGTTTTAGATTTGAAAGTATTTAAAAGTATTTCTTTTGGATAACAGAAAAATACCTTAATCTGTTACATTTTTGGATTAACATCAATAGAATATATTTTTCAACTGCTAGGAATTAAACAATGTAATAGCTGGTGTCAGTGATCAAAGTAGAAACAACAAGAAAATGTCAGAATTATGAATCCTGGAAGAACTGGCTTCACGCCTTAAAGGATGTAGTGCTTTAAAATGAAGTCTTAATATTGGTTGATTTCTAAATATTTAGACCATTAGTTTTGTCATCATTGGTCCTATGCCTCTAGGCGAGGAGCTCCAGGTGGGGCTTTTATAATATAACGTGGCATCTCTGTGTGGCAATAGAGTTGCCAATGGATGAGTTCATCCTTGCTGTTGGAGGACAGGAGGGCCTTCCTTCCATATGCCTTTCACAGTATTAGAGGGAGCAAATAACTCTGTGAAGTTATCTGTAAATCAAAAGACAGTGACATAAAATTGTGGGTCAGTGACAGCAGAAGTTTGCTGTGATTTCAGGAGCCTGGATGCTCTCAGCAAGAAAGCGAAGACTCCTGAAACCAACCTGCCCATATAGTTGGTGAGCCTGAGTCTGCAGGATATCAACTGTTACTTCCACCCTCCTAATGAGCACTTGGAGCATGAGGACAAACTGAACAGGTTGCATGCCCTGAAGAATTGGCAGAACCTCTTCTGGGGAGAGGTGAGTCTGCCCATTTCTTCTTTGTTTTCTTGGGACAACAACTGCTTGGCGGGGGGGGGGGGGATTCTCCTTTAATCTCCTTTAATTCTCCATCTTTACACTTTGAGGTAGAAGGCAGCAGGTGTGCTACTGCACAGGAAAACAGGCCTAGGAGGTACATGGTCATTACTTTTATTTCTCTGTCAATGACTGTTAATTTTACAGGATGAAATTTGCCATCACAAGGTATTGTGTTACCTTGTTTATTCATATTTCATGTATTCCTGGGATAGATTTTATATATCTTTTGGGATTGATTTCTCTTCTTGTGTTATGTGTGGGTCTTTTTTAGGGCATGACCTTCTCTTGCTAAAGTGTCTTCTGTCTGATTTTCTGTAGAAGTGAATGCCCATAAGTGGAAACTGAGTTCTGTCAGCTGTTTCTAATTGGGACCTGATTATTTCTTCTAGGATTTTGAATTTTCTATTATTTTTAACAAAGTTTGTGTCCAGTTAATTTGGGTGTAGGTCAAGGTGAGCTGTCTCTTGTCTGGGTTTATTTCAGTGGCAGAATTTATTCCCTGTGAACTTGTACTTGGTCTGTAGATTCCTAGCACTTGCACAGAAAAGGCAGGGAGAAAAAAAGCAACAAGTGAAGCAAAGAACATACAGCATTGAAATAAATACCCAATGCCTACTCCTATATCAATAGTGCTAATTACTCAGAAACAGTAATGGTGAGGTCACCAATTGCCAGCAGCAAAGACAGTAAATAGCTGTGGACAAGAACTGGCATTATAGTAAGCAGCAGGTGTCAACTGTGCCATCCACATAATTAATAAGTGCAACAGCATGAATTGTTGGGGGCAGCAGTTACATGGAGCAAATAGTTCTAAAAGATTATAAAAGTATAGTTCATTAAGAGGAAAGAAAATGTGATAGGAAGGTAAAAAAAACTTTAGATGTTCAAAATGTGAGTGAGAGAACACAGATGTAGCAAGTGAAGGTTATCAGTATGCAGGAGAATAAATAGCACATACAAAAAAAAGAGGGGGGGAAGAAAGAACAAGGGAATTTAGCTGTTATTGTGAGAAGGAGGAAGAGAGAGAAAAACAAGAAACAAGTAAACAAAAACAAAACAAAAATAAAATATCATAACCCTCAAACAAAGCAAGGAAAAATAACTATTAAAAATGTTAGAGATTTGGGGCTGGGGTTGTGGCTGTAGAGGGCTCGCCTAGTTCTCTTGAGGCCCTGGGTTCCATCGTCAGCACCACATAAAAGTCAATAAACAAAACAAAGTTGCTAAAAAATAATTTTCAAAAAAATATGCTAAAGATTTACCCTATGTATGAAGACATGAATGATGTGACTCTACTTTGTGTACAACCAGAGATATGAAAAATTGTGTTCTAAATGTGTAATATGAATTGTAAAGCATTCTGTCATGTAACAAATAAAAACAAAAAAGGAAAATGCTAAAGATGAGAAAAAAGAAGTATGTATGTGTATGTATATATATACTATGAACCAATCAGTATAGCAGGAACACCAAGAAAAAAAGAAGGAAAAATATTCAAGGTACTTAAAATTGTGCGGGAAATATGGAATATCAATGCCTGTTCCCAAGGGTTTCTTTCCATTTCTTGGACTTTTTACCATCTTAGAATGGCCCCTTGTTTTTGTGTTGGCCAAGCAGCTTCTAGTTGGAGTGGCCTTCCACTGAAGCTGGTTCTGATGACTCTCTTCTTTCCATATAATTAGCGTGAGGTAGGAGATAGTGGGAAGAACTGTCCTTTGGCATTTTGTACACAGAGACCATCTGGATGCACTGCCAGGGTGGGGCTGTGGCAGATTTCTATGAGGGATGTTCCATGTGGGGTGCTTACTTCTAAACATGCCTCAGGGGCTTTGCTGGGTGGTGTCTGCTCTGGGGGAGATTAGATCAGCACACCCCTAGGGCCTGGCAGTTGCTGCTCTCTGCTGGGAGTTTGGATCTCAGGAGCCTCCCAAGCATTCCACACATGGGGTGAGGGAGCCAGTCCTCTACCCCCTCTGCTGCCCACCAACACAGCCTTCCCAGGCTGAGTCCCAGAGAGTGTTCACACCTGCTTCCACTGGTCATGAAGTTGGACAGTTGAGGCTAGATACTGAGGAATTAGCAGGAAGCAGGTTTACTGGCTGCTGCTAACTCCATAGTGGGGGCTTTCACCTAAATTCATTTGTCCATCTGAAGCCCAAGTCCAGAATTCTTTAGAACTTTATACCCAGTGTGTAGGGAGAGGGAAGCTCAGAGGCTCCCAATTTGAAGTAGTCTATATAATAAAGTATTTTTTCTTCTTTTACTGGAATGGGTAACTAACCCAGCCCTGAATACCAAAGACACTGAAAAAGTAGTGCTTGGGAAAGGGAGGGTTCTGCTCCCATTTCCCCCACCAGCTGGTTTTCAGGGAACCTAATTAGCACCATTCACTCTTATGTTTTTATTGTAAAGGATTTTCTCTAGGATCTAACTACTCTCCTTTGAAGTGTAAACATCTCTCTGAAGGCTCCCAGCCCAAACCTAGAGGCATTTATTGCACTCTGCTTTCTTTTTTCTTTCTTTATTTTATTTTATTTATTCTAATTTGTTATATAGGACAGCAGAATGCAACTCAATTCATATTACACAAATAGAGCCAAAATTTTCATGTCTCTGGTTGTGCACAAAGTAGAATGGCACCACTCATGTTTTCATACATGTACTTAGGGTAATGATGTCCATCTCATTCCACCATCTTCCTACTCCTATGCCCTCTCCATTCACCTCCCTCCCCTTTGCCCTATCTAAAGTTTATCTATTCCTCCCATGCTGCCCACCCCATCCCCATTATGAAACAGCATCCTTATATCAGAAAGCATTCTGCATTTAGTTTTTTGGGGATTGACTTACTTCACCTACCATTATATTCTCCAACTCCATCCATTTACCTGCAAATGCCATAATTTTCTTCTCTTTTAATGCTGAGTAATATTTCATTGTGTATATTTACCACATTTTCTTTATTCATTCATCTACTGAAGGATATCTATATTGGTCTCACAATTTAGCTACTGTGAATTGTGCTGCTATAAACATTGATGTGGCTGTGTCCCTGTAGTATGCTGATTTTAAGTCCTTTGGGTATTGACTGAG